AATTGGTCCAGCTTTGGCCAGCAGCATGTCCATCTTCAGAGCCATCAGGGATTGACTCTGCCAGACATGGTGCAAGCTCCTAGCAGCTTCTCACAGAAGCCACCTCTGTGGCCCCCCTGCTACAAAAAACCAAGTCATGCAAAACCAACACAACAGGCAAGCTCTAATTTTCCATAAAATGTTCAGCACATGCATAGCGTATGATTCTTACCCAATAGGCATCCATATGGGGGAGAAGACAGGTTCAGCCCATCAACTGATCCCAGCAGTTATAATGGAGTCTTCCCTAACTTTTCCCCCATTCTCAACTGACTTTTATATTATTTCTTTGTGTTTAGATGAGTCTTGAGTGACTCTAGTCATGCATACCTTTGTTACTGATTGGTGTAAAATTCTTTAGCTTCGCTTTTAAAGATACAGTCAAAAAGAATATAGAGCGCATGCCCAGTGAGGGGTGGTCATACCTTGGAGGCAGGTAGCTTTGGGATGGAGGTGTACATTATTATTAGGCGTTAATAAAGCAAGTTCATTTAAGGAGAAGAATTTCCCCACAGTTGCTGGCTCAGCAGTAGGATGTCTTCCCCTATTGCCCATGACTGACAGGTGTTATGTGGTTTATCAGCTGTAAAGTATCATTGAGTTCCCTTCCCTGCAAGGATTTCCAGAGTCTGGCCATGGTTTCTCCACTCTGCTCCACCCTCCATTCCATCACCCTTCACAGATGTATGTGTATGGGGAATCATCATGCAATAGGTTTCAAGTCATGCCAATCACATTCCATCCAGGGAGCAAGAAGTGATTTACTGTATAATTTCTGTACTGTTATAACTCCTGTTAAGATGCCAATACAACTCTTCAGTTTCTTCTAATTGTATCCCCAGTTACCTGTCCACAGGGTCCTCAGTCATTTTCCTACAGTCTCCAAGGACTGAGTTTTCTTCAGTACTACTAGGAAGCATCCAGCTCTTGGAGTCATGTTTTTGAAAAGCAGCTGTATCTTTCCTTTTCCCAGACTGTTAGAGAAAAGGTTCTTATCTGGGAAGCCTGGACACAGGTGGTGGCCTGCCACTTACCACCTTACACATCCTGTGTATATATATGTGTATATCCATGTTTAATTTAGTTTCTAGCTTCTAGTGGGAAGAAGTGAATGTGTTTGAAAACCAATTTTATTTAATATGGTGCTAAATAGAGACAGTTACAAGTTTGATGTTTGCCATGAAAGGAGTTTGAATATCATAGAATCATAAAACAGAATTATAGAATATGCTGAGTTGGAAGGGACCCATCAGGATCGTCTAGTCCAACTCCTGGCGCACACACAACAACCCAAGAATGACACCATGTGCCTGAGAGCTTTGTCCAAATGCTTCTTGAACTCTGTCAGGCTTGGTGCTGTGACCACTTCCCTGGGGAGCCTGTTCCAGTGCTCAACCACCCTCTGGGTGTAAAACTTCATATCTAACATAAGCCTTCCTTGAAACAATTTCAGGCCATTCTCTCGAGTCCTGTCACTGATCACCAGAGAGAAGAGATCAGTGCCTGCCCCTCCACTTCCCATTGTGAGGATGCTGAAGACCACCATGAGGTCTCCCCTCAGTCTTCTCTAGGCTGAACAAACCAAGTGATCTCAGCCACTCTTCATAAGGCTTCCCCTCCAGACCCTTCACCATCCTTGTGGCCCTCTTTTGGATGCTCTCCAATAGATTAATGTCTTTTATATTGTTGTGCCCAAAACTGCACACAGTACTCGAGGTGAGGCCTCACCAGTGCAGAAGGGGACAATCACCTCCTTTGGCTGATGATGCTGTGCTTGATGTACCCCAGGACACAGTTGGCCCTCCTGGCTGCCAGGGCACTGCTGACTCATATTCAACTTGCCATCAACCAGGACCCTAATGTCTTGAGAAGGCTGACCTGGAACAGAGACTAGACAAAGTGAAAATAATAAAGTAGGTGTTTATTAAAAGGCCTTAAATGATACACCTTGGGCAGTACAAGAGCCTGGCCAGGGCTACACCCAAGATGCAAGATGGACCCAAAATGGTCACAAAATGGATGACCAGTCACGAAGTTTTACACTTTTATAAGTTTTGGTCCATTTTCATATTGGGTTTAATTGTCCAATTATAGCTTCAGGTTATGAAGTTCCATCCTCCTTGTTTGCTCTCTTCAGTTCCCCGTTGTTTATGCTTTTTGAGCCTGAAGCTTGTAACGGTTGTTCTTGGTTCTCAAGCTGGAAAAAAGATTGTTTTGTCTAAGTACCCTGTAAAGAGAGCTTACAAATACTTAATATGAAGCTCAGAGCTACATACCTAGGCAGCGCAGAATCTGAAAAATATAAAAAGCTAAAACTTAAGGCATCAACCCCAAGGTCCCTTTGCCCTGTGCTACTTTCCAGCCTCTTGTTGCTTAGTCTATAGACACATCTAGGGTTGCCCTATCCCGGGTGCAGAATTCGGCACTTGTCTGTCACTGTCATATTTTCTGAAAAATCGTTTTGCCCAGGATTCTTCTCCTGGGAAGCTGAGAAGCCTCAAACAAAAATGAAAACAATAATTATCTGATTAGCTTCTCCTCTGTTTTGCTGCTTTGGAATGTGGTTTGGACATTGTTTACCAACAGGTGCTTGCTTCATTGGTTTCATGTGAATTGTTTTTACTTAATGACCAATCACTGTCCAGCTGTGTCGGGACTCTGGAAGGAGTCACGAGTTTTTCATTAGTATCTTTTAGCCTTCTATCTGTATACTTTCTCTATTCTTTAGTGTAGTTTAGTATAGCATTCTTTATTATAATATAGATCATAAAATAATAAATTAGCCTTCTAAGAACATGGAGTCAGATTCATAATTTCCTCCCTTCAACGGAGGTCTCAGAAAATACCAGACTTGTCCTTGTTAAACTTTATATGGTTGGTGATTTGTTGAGGTCTCTCTGCAGGTCCTCTCTGTCCTTAAGGGAGTCGACACCAAACTTACTTAGTATTCCTTTGAGTCCTTGTCTTGGTTTGAAATAACAGGCATCTGCTTAAGGAAGGCAGGAGCCTCCCCTGAATTGGGAAATGTAAACCCCCTCCCTCTGAATTATTATGATTTTGAAATTAAAAGGCTCTCAGGCAAAGATACGGGAGTAGGAATAACAGTTCTTTATTAGGGAAGAAAATAAAAATAAAAATGCAGTAATACGAAACAACACTGATAGAGTCAGAATATGATCTGACATCCATTTGGTCCGGGTGTTGATAGCAGTCTGATTGAATGGTGGCTGCAGTATTCCTGGAGTGACAAATGTGGTTCTGTTGAAGCAGTGATCCTGTAGAAGGGTGTAGTTTTCCTCTGAAGGTCCAGTGGTAGTGTAGATGGGGCTGGTCTTTCCTCTGGGAATCCAGTGGAGAAAAAAGCTGCTCCCCTAGGAATCCAGTGGGAATAGGCTGCCTGTGGTGTTCCAAATCTCAGATTATATTTAGGTAGGAATGCTTGGCTCTTGCCTCTGGGCGGAGCACCTCACATTGGGATGATGTAATTTTATCAGTCATGCAGTGAGACTCAATGGCCCATTAATAGAAGATATCTCTCTGGAGGGAGGATTGGTTGTGGAAGAGATAAAGAAAACTGCCCAATTAACAGAAGATAACTGCTCCACAGACAGGAATAGAATACACACCCCTATTTCCAACTGAAGACAGTCCTGCATCCTAGTCATTAATGAAGATATTGAAGACAACTGGGCATAGGATGGAGCCCTGTGGAACCCTACTAGTGACCAAACTCTAGTCTGATTTAACCCCATTGACTCTCTGTGCCCAACTGCCAAGCCAGTTGTTTACCCATCACGTAACATGGTTATCCAGCTGTGTGCTGGACATTTTGTCCAGAAGGATATTATGCGACACAATACCAAAAGCTTTTCTGAAATAAAAAGAGATTGCATCTACTGGCTTCCCTTGATCAACTAGGTGTCTTACCCTGTTATAGAAGGAAATCGGGTTCAACAAGCTGGACTTTCTCCTTATGAAGAAATGCTGGCTGTGGCCAGTGCTGTGTTGTCCTCCATTTGTCAATACCTCCCAGAATAATCTTTTCCATTATTTTACTGGTCACTGAACTGAGACTCACAGACCTGTAGTTTCCAGGGTCCTCCTTCTTGCCCTTCTTAAAAATCTGGACAACATTAGCTAGCTTCCTGTCAGCTGGCACCTCTCTGGATTCCCAAGACCACTCAAAAATCATATTTTCATCAGTGCTGGAGCTGCCTGAATTGGCACTTTGTATACCTAAATCCTCTGCTATGCTGTACCATAGAGTACAAAACTACCTGAATTAGGTTGCCTACAAGTAGGCATAATGAGGTGGACTCAGTGTTTGAGGAACTTTGGTTTTCAGGGGGATTTCAGTGGCAGTGAAAAATGCTGTGCTGACAGATACTGAAATTAAATCTTTCTAGTTAGTCAAAACCAAATAGATCCAGGTTGGTAACTACAGACTTCTTTACTCCTCTCCAAGAGGGACTGGAGATTGAATTCTCTTACTCATTTAGTCCTTATTTCTTCTGAGATGGACTTTAACACAGCTGGTCATGAGTTTTTTAGTTTTACTCATGAGGCAGACTGGTCCACTTGGAACTCAGCTGAAACTGTAAATGTGTTTCATACAACACCCCAAAGTCATCACTTGGAAATTGTTTTGGACTACTGTGAGAGCAGGCTGAATTTGAACTGGTGACCCACCCTCTATATTATATTCTCAGTATTATCTATCATATAAGCCAGATGTTGAAATCTGGTGTTTTCAAGGGTACTTACAGTACCCCGGAAACTAAACATAGCACACTAAACATGTTTCCAAAGTTTTGTCTAGGTTTCCATAGGTTTCAGCCATTCAAAACACTGGCATGTTCTCTGTTCCCTCTGAATGTGGGTGGGAATGGACTCACCTAACAGTCAGAGAACAGACTGCAGAACTTTTTGTTTAATTTTTGTTTTATTTTCTTTCTCAACAGGATCCAACAGCTGCATCTATTTTGGACAGAGATTGTGGTATGAGAGGAGAGACTGTAGCCATGAACTGTAAGCCATCCCCACTTCAAGTGAAATTAGGTGAGTCTTTGCTGATGGAGAGTAAAAAGGCTGAATCCAAGGTCTGAAATATGGTGAGGTGCTTGTGGGACCATATGGAGATCTTCATGTATATGGCTGAGCATGCCAGCTCAGCTCAGACAACTCCAGAGAACTTTATCAGTGTGATTCTTCTGCAAACATGCAAGGGCACTTTATCATGGGCTGTGGTAGAGGAAGAAAACTATGCCTTGAAAGGAAGACATAGCTTTTTAAACCTACAGATTTTTATCAAGGGTTTGGGTAGGAAAAGAAAGAATATAATATAGAGGGAGTGTATAGAAGAGAAGACAGGATAACTGCAAACAAAAGGGAAAGGATCAGAGACTTGGACTACCAGGAAGAGCAGTGTTACTGCAAGCTGGAGGGTTTGAAGGTTTGTAAAGGTTCACATAGAAATACTCATGTTATTTCTGAGCAATATTTTAGAAGTTCTGGAAGCAGAATTATATTAGCACAATAGTCTACTTCCTCACAAAGCTAATGCTTACAAGAGGACAGGAATCCACACATGCCTGTCCAGTCTCCAAAATCTGAGCCTCTATTGTGCCACCAGACTCGACCTGACAAGGGAGAGATCAAAGGAAGTGTACATTTTGCTCAGAGCATGAATAAAAAAATGGGAATCTAAGTCTTGAAAATTTCACATAGGAGCAGGAAGCAGTCCCCTGGTGATTCTTCATATCAGAACAAATGACACTGACAGGATGCTGCTGGAGCTGGTTGAGGTTGACCTGTTGGAGTGGGTCCAGAGGAGAGCCACAAAAATGGTCACAGGGATGGAACACCTCTTCTATCAGGAAAGGTTGAGAGAGTTGAGGTTGTTTAGCCTAGAGAACAAAAGACTTTGGGGAGACCTTATTGCAGCCTTTCAATACTAAAAAGGGGGCTTATAAGAAAGATTGGGACAGACTTTTTAATAAGGCCTTTAGCAACAGAACCCAGGATAATGATTTTAAAGAGGGTAGATTCATACTAGGTGTAAGGATGAATTTTTTTTATGATGAGGGTGGTGAACCATTAGAACAGGTTTCCAAGAGAGGTTGTAAATGCCCCATTCATGGAAACATTCAAGGTCAGATTGGATGGGGCTCTGAGCAATCTAGTCTAGTTGAAGATGTCCCTGCTTATTGCAGGATGTTTGAATTAGATGACCTTTAAAGGTCCCTTCCAACACAAACCATTCTATGACTCTATGCCATGCTAGGTAAGGCTCTGAAAGAAGTGGGTGCCCAGATGTTCAGTTGAATAGCTCTGACCACTACCAAATGAGTGACAGGGAAATGTCTCTGTGACCTTGCATTAGAGAGACAAGACACACTCTTATTCATGCAGTGAAAAAAGGTCCCAGTTTACTCACACATCCCATTCTATAGAGTTTTACAAACATATCATGCCAACTTCTAATAGGTCAGTAACTAGCTGTTAGCCTGTAAGGATTGGTCAGTTCACCAAAGATGCCTACGTGCTGGCAAGTGTCTGTTTTTAGATATTGTTTGCATTTTTTCTCTTTGACGGTTCAGAATTGTTTATACAGGTGCAAGTAACAGTCCCAGTCCTAGAATTTTTTCTCAGGCAAAAAAGCTGTTTTTTACCATTACAGGATTCCATTCTCAGGAAAGGTTGACAGATTTCTCACTGATACAGTTGATTCAAGTTAGAATTCAGTCTGTGAGGCTTTTACAGGCCTGCTGTTCAGCCACCACAGGTAAGGTCAGCAAACAGCAAAGGTTTGAAAATATGGGGAAGTTTTGGCATTGGTGTATAATTATGAAGACATGTTCTCTGATAGATAGGTTTCACCTAAGGGCCTGGAGTACTCCTGCAAACACTGGTGTTGGCCTCATTTCTAAGAGAAACCTTAAGAAACACCAGGAAAAAGCTGGGAAGTGCTTGTGAAGTCTCAAGGCTCTGCCTGAGTATAAATTGAATAATCACACAAATCTGGTCATCACAGTGCAGAAAAGAATGTCACAGAGTAGACCCGTGGACAGCAAAGGAAAATAAAGTGTCTGAATAAGCAAGATCTTGCTGGAAGAGTGACTAGGGAGGAGAAGTCAGAAAGATGAATATGTAAATGTAGCAAGATTATGCAGCAAAGTACAGGACCTTGAGCTACTGAAACAGGATATGAGTGAATGCATTGGGACAGTAGATCTTTCCTGCAATGTCAGTGATGAACACTCTGAAAACCAGTGGCTGCTTTTCAGGAAAATGCAGGGAGCAGCAGTGTGTATTAATAACAGCACAACTCACAGTTTAGTAAAAGATTATCACTTCCAGCATGCCATATGCCACCATGATCCTTTTTCACTGCCAAAAGAGTTCTGTAATGTTATTAGAGAGATAATTGCTACTGCAGCAGTTGTTTTGTATAATTTAACATCAGGAATCAGGTTGGAAAGCAATTAATTCTATGACTGGTAAGTCTGAGATGTTCTTGTATTTCTCGGCACTAAAAATAAAAAAAATTCTCCAGAAATTCAGTAACACGTCAGGAAATGGTGCCATTATAGACTTAGCTTTGGTAAGTCACAAAGATGATATAGAAGACCTGATCATAGGAAATAGTTTTGGATTCAAGGACAACAAGTAAAATCCATGCAAATTAAATGAAAAGGTAATTTGAAGTAGATCTATAACAAAAAATGAGTTTTATAAATTAAGAGTTCAAGCAGAGTCAGGAAATTAAAAAGCCCAGGAACTCAAACACATCAGGTGGTGTTGAAGGAGAAAGTATCAGGAAAAAAGGACATTGCTAATGGGATTGTCCAACAGCCATTTCATTTATATGTTCATTAATGACTTTGACACAAAAAACAAGTTGGGAAAGAAAATTTAATCATAACAGCAATGATAAAGTTGCAGTAAGAAGTCCACGGGCAATCAAAATAGAGTTCAGGGCCTTTGGACAGCTGGTTAAGGGATCAGGAGCACAAGTTTTTTTTCCCTCTATCCTTCCAGTTGCAAAGAATGATGTTGGAAGAAACAGAAAGACTCAGCTGATCGATACCTAGCTATGTGACTGCTGTCACCAGCAGAATGTGTGGTTTTTTGGTCATGGGTTGGTCTACATAATACCAGGCCTACTGGAGACAGAAATATTCTATAAGCAGCTGGGAGGAGTCTCACAATCAGTAGCCCTTATTCTCAGTGGGGACTTCAACCTACCAGATGTCTGATGGAAATACAACACAGGAGAGAGGAAACAGTCTCTTAGAACGTGTGGAAGATAAGTTTGTGACAGCTGGTAACTAAAGGAAGGTGCCCCACTGGACCTGCTGTTTGTGAACAGAGAAGAATGTGGGTAATGTGATGGCTGGAGGTCATCTTGGGCACAGTGATAATGAAATGATCTAGTTTTTAATTCTCAGAGAAGTAAGAAAAGGGGTCATCAAAACTGCTACCTTGGACTTTTGGAGGGCAGACTTTGGCCAGTTTAGGAGCCTGGTTGGCAGAATCCTTTGTGAGGCAGTCCTGAAGGGCAAAGGAGTCCAGGAAGACTGGACATTTTTCAAGCAGGAAATCTTAAAAAGCTCAGGACCAGGCTGTCCTTATGCTGAAAGACAAACCTGCAGGGAAGAAGATCAACATGGCTGGACATGGCATTTTGGCTGGAACACAGGAGGGATGGAAGAGAGTTTATGACCTCTGGAAGAAGGGACAGGCAACTCAGGAGGACTACAAAGTTATCATTAAATTATGCAGGGACAAATCCCAACAATAACTTAATTGCACCACTACAATGAAAGACAATTAAAATTGTTTCTATAAATGTATTCACAAGAAAAAGAGGGCTAAGGAGACTCTCCATCTTTTATTGGATGCAGGGGGAAACGTAGTGACAAAGGATGAGGAGAAGGCTGAGATATTTATGCCTTCTTTGCCTCAGTCTTTAATAGTAAGACTAATTGTGAGTATCCAGCCTGCTGAGCTGAAAGAAAGAGACAGGGAGCAGAATGAAGCCTCTATAATCTAAGAGAAAAATGGTCAGTGACCTGCTACACCACTTAGACCCACACAAGTCTATGGGGCCAGATGGGATCCACCCAAGAGTACTGACGAAGCTGGCAGAAGTGCTCACCAAGCCCCTTTCAATAATTTCCCAGCAGTCCTTGTTACGAAGCAGAGCAACACAGAGTCCCCAGGCAGGTGAAAGAGAAAGCTCTTTATTGCAAAAACCAGGCCTTTCTAAGCAATTAGGCCGTTATCAGTTACATTCCATTTAAGCGCAACAAATGTAATTTAACCAACCACCATAAACCACGATGTGAACATGTAATAGCTATATAACTTGTTTTTCTGCCTCTAATTCAGCTGAGTCCAACTTTCCCATAGTCCTTTTCTCCTTAGCTGAAGTAACAGGCCTGAGCCATGGATTTACAAGGGTAACAAGGCTCTTATTTTGTAAGGTTTTACCTATAAGCAACATCACTCCCTTTCTTTGTTTTTTGTGCAAAGAGTTCATGTACTCTAATGTCAAAACAGTCTGCACCTGTAAGGCCATTATCTTATTAAGACTATTACTGGTCATCTGCTGGACACAGGATAAGATACATGGAATACAGATCACAATCAATAAAACCCCATCAAAAACAACCATGCTACTGACAAAGAGACCTGCAGCACAGGAAAACAAAAAGATAGTGTCCAATGTCCCCAGGAAGTGGAAGTAAATGGCTACTGTTCCAAAGTTCATATGGCTGGAGATCAGGGGCCATGCTGTTTACGCAGGAGGGAGTCCATTAGCTGGAAATGCTGACTTTGCTATTACTGGGTGTCTTTCTGGAAATATGGAACAGGGAATAACTGAAGAAGGTCAGCAAGAACACAATAACATGGTGGTGGGTATAGTGGGACACAAGGCAGGCAGCAGGCTGCCTCTGTAAGCCTCCAGACACAGCCGTGTCCTGGCATTCCTACCCCTGCTCCTGCCTTGGCTACAAGGGCTGGATGGTGATTAGGTCATTTTTCCTCTCACT